CGATAATAAACTCAACTTACTAGCCTAAAATCTCCGTAGCGTGTTGCCAGGCGGCAGAAAGCATATATATAATTATAATAAAGTTACAATAAATTAAGTTAATATATAATTATATATACAGTACCTAATTTATATATAATTAATATATAATTATATGTACAGTACCTAATTTATATATAATACTAAACAGATGATAACAAACTCAATTTAGCCGCTCCATAGCGTGGCGCAGAGTCGGAGGAAAATAGTTCGGCTGCTCATCCACTATTGGTCAAGACTCTATCAATCTTCTCGCGAAACGACGTTATAGGAGGTACGTTATACGAAAGTTGCTACAATTTTTTCGCTACGTTATAGGAATTTCCGTTATAGGAATTTCCGTTATAGGAACGTACGTTATAGGGGGGGGTCGACTGTATATAGTTTATTACTAGAAGTTTAATTAAATATTTGATTTTGTTATTGACAAGCTTTGTCATTATTTAATTCGGTGCACGCTTAAAGTCCAGACCTGGCACACTAACGCGAATCCGCGTAAAATACCCGTTAGGGAACGGCTATTTCCGGCACGCAGTAGTGTCGATAATTGTTGGAAAAGTCAGAAAAATAATATAGTACTTTACAGGGTACTTTCTAAAAATTCCCCATGCTTTCTTTTGTGCTTTATATGCTGCCTTACAATTCTGGTTCCACCATGGTTTCGGATGTTTTGGATATCTAGTTGATGTTTTCCCCATTGTTTTTTCGGCTGCCTGAATGATACTGGAAGTGACAACCTCAACTGCATCATTGATATCAGCAGTATTGACCATTTCCTCAGTGATGTTATCCAAAGAAAAAAACTCAGGCCAATTTGCCGTTTCCAGTTTCCAGCGTGGTGGACGAGCTGTTTCACAGCTTTCTCTACCTCGATATTTTAGAAATATTGGGAAGTGGTCACTAGAGAATGGATTAGATCCAACCTCCCATGTAAATGCTGAAAACAGAGTCGGAGTTGCTAATGATAGATCAATGGCAGTGAACATTCTTGATGGGGCATGGAAGTATGTCACTTCTCCAGTGTTAAATAGACACAGTTGATGATTACCTATAAATCTCTCAATAACTCTGCCTCAACGATTGATGTCGTGACTGCCCCACATAGGATTGTGGCCATTAAAATCACCAAGTAAAAGGAATGGTGTTGGCATCTGTTCAACCAAGGCATCCAGTTCTTTCTCATTGACTCTGACATCTGGTGGCAGGTATATAGAACAAACTGTGACAGTTACGCCAATTAAAATTTTGACTGCCACAGCTTGCAGCTCTGTTGTTATTTGTACTGGTAAGGATGGAACGCGATTTGAAACCACAATAGCCACACCGCCACTGGCACAATTGTGGCTATCATCATCCTTGCAATAGAAACTAAATCATTTTAAAGAAATATTTTCTCCAGGTTTTAGATGGGTTTCCTGGAGTGCCACACAGAGAGATGAGGTAGATGATGTCAAGTGTTTAATGTCAGAAAAGTTGTTGCGGAAACCACGACAGTTCCATTGTATTATTTTATATATTCCATTATGTGTTTGAGGCAGCATTCTTTGTGAAGGTATCCCTCTTCAGTTTTACGGCTGATTTGCGTTTTGGGGGTGAAGTCGGTGGTGTCACCTCCTTATTATTCTCCTCGTCAGAGAACTCACTCATAGACTGAGCCTCTGATCTCTTAGATTTGGAGATGGCTGCTTTTAATTTTTGTTTGTTGAGCGGGTTCTTAGCAGCCTTCTTAGAACCCACATTTCTAGTCATTACCCCTGTTTTAGGTAGGGGTGTTTTAGTCTTCTTGCTCTCCTTTTCTGCTGTTTGGGTGGATGGTATTAGGAAACATTTTTCATGGCGAGTTAGAGATTCATTTGGTGAAACAGAAATGTCTGTCTGATCTCCACATGTCTTTGTGGATTTCAGAACAGCAGCAAATGTCTTCTGTTTCACTGGTGCATTTAAAGTTACCATGCGTCATGCCTCTGGGTAAGGTAGATTGTTAACTGTTTTCACGCGCTGAATCTCTTTCTCTCTCTGCCATGCAGGGCATTTTCGGGAGTAGGAAGGATGTGAATCTTTGCAGTTGACACAGCATGGAGTGGTTGTACACTCAGTACCCTGGTGGCCTTCAACTCCACACTGTGCACATAAACTTTTGCCTCGACATGATGTTTGGGAATGTCCAAATCACTGTCATTTAAAGCAACGCAGCGGATTTGGAATGTATGGACGAACCAGACAGCACAGATATCCTGCAATGACAAATGATGGTAATGTTGGCTTTCCGAAAGTAAGAATGAGATGCTTAGTTGGTATCAACTTGCCATCTCAACGAATGGAGATGCGTCAGACAGCAATGACTCCTTGATCTGAAAGACCGATCTGTATATCTGATTTGTCTTCAGACATCAGATCAATCTCGGATATCACCCCACGTGATGAGTTTAGACTTCCATGTGGGGTGACAGTGACTTCCATGTCTCCAAGTGTTTTTGTTGCCAATAGATTTACTGTTTGTTGAGGTGAGGCTGTTTCTACCAGCAGGTCCCCTGACCTCGATTTTTGTATCTTTTTCAAGTGCCCAATAGTTGATTCAAATATTTTTTGAATAAGAAATGGAGAGCATTTTGACAGTGGTTTATCACCAGTCGCATGAACTATCAAGTAAGTTGCAGTGCTGGAAACGTTGGTTGTTACTGGAGGTAACTTATCCCTGTTTAGTTTTGAATTTTTGGAATCCATATTTAGACAAAACAATTCAGCTCCTAGTGACCCAACCCACCATGGGGCCCAACAAGGGGATGCCGTCACATGGGAGACTCCCATAGACAGTCACACCAGAATTTCCCAGGAGCTATACCCTCACAATGCAGTCAAGAAGAGCACATCTTGTCTGACGTGTCTGCCCGGTCTGCATCGATCGGTTGACTCCAAGCAGAGGTCAAGAATGACTCAACGACCAGCCGATTGACTCAAACGGAGCCTGATTTGAGCCTCCCGTTTATCCGAAGCAGGGGCCAAAGCAGTGTATTGGGGACATTATATTGCCCCTCAACTACCAGGATCCCCCTTTCCAGCATACGGGACACCACGTACAGCAAACACGTGGGTGGGCGTTCAGATCCCAGGGATGGTAAAGAAGAATTACTAAACCATCTCTGGGAGGTCCCCTCACCACGGACAGGAACCCACATCGAGGGGTTAAAGAACTCCAGACATCATTCAGTGCAGCTGACTTAGGCTTGCGTGAAGGCACAGACATTCTTAATTGGAGAGAAATAAAGTTATGGAAAGTATTTTCTGAAAATAATGGAACTTTCCGTAAGTGCATTTAATCTGAAAAATAATTAATTGATAATTTGCATGCAAGTATAATAAAATTGTATGACATTGGTTTTAGAATGTGGCAAACAAATTCTCATTATTGATGCCAATCATACTGATCTTCAAGAAACTCTGTTGTGGTCCACTCTCCATATCCTTCAAAAACATGCATAAAAAAAGTAAAGGTAATTGTGATGTGTATATATGATTTCAAATATTTACTAAAGTAACAGAACTTAAAAATTAATTTAAATATTTGCTAGCAGAATGAATCCATGCAGCAATAAAACTGTTAAAATATAGGAACTGTTCTACTTTCAGCACCGGGGTAAAATCAACGTTACACTACCCAGAACCTGTGATTGGTGCTCTATTTGCATATATTTTATATCGCTTGACAAATGTTTTCGAGCGATCTGTTCGCTCTTCTTCAGGTTGACTGAAAATTCCCCGAACGGAGTGTATATTATTTGTTGGGATCGGGTGTCGGTTCCGACTGGGTGGGTCGTTTCTGGCATGTGCGGTTGTGTGATGGGGGAGGAAATGGTGGGTTGGCATCTAACAGCAATTGCCAGACCAGAGACAGGGTCAGCTCTTCCTTCCAGTTAACGCAGGTGGTTAGCCAGCCAGTATTGTAGATAGCCGTGGCCTCCAGCCACCTGAGATGCTGTTGGTGGGGTGTGTTGATGATGATAGTAGCCTTCTCGAGTTACGCATATCATTTTGGATCCGTCGCATATGTGGCCAGGGCTGTGGTTAGCCTCTCGTGTCAGATATCTGCTTGGTGTTCACGCAGGCAGGTGCACAAGGAACATTTGGTCAAGCCATTGTATAGTAGGTCCGTGTTCTGTCTGTTGTCCCGGAGTGGGATAGAGTAGATTCCGGGGAGTTTGGTGCGATCGGGAGGGTCTTTATCGTTCCGAAGGATACAGAAAATTGTGGGGCATCTTCTGTATGCAAATCGTATCCCGTGCTCTCTGGCTATCTTCTTATGCACAGTCTCGAGGTGCAAATTGAATGTGATGGGGACCCATGCTGGGCTATCTTGCTGTGGGTCAGTGACATTTCTTGCGGTTAGGGAGTGTTTCTGGCATTGGTATCGTTCAACTAAGTGGCGTGTCAGGTTTGGGAACCCATGCTCTGTTGCTATCCTCTTGATGCGAACTAATTCGTTTGTTAGGGCTTGCTTGGTGGATGAGTATGAAAACACTCTCTCCACCAGTGTCCTAAAGGCGGCTGGTATGTACGTGGGGTGAATGAGAGCTTGTGGTATATGGCCATGTGGATGGTGGATAAACCCCTGATCTTTTAAGGGCAGATATAGGATCTCTGTCATTGGACAACAACCTTCTAAGATTTGGCCGTAAAGAAACCGACAGAAAAAAGGCATGTCACCTAAAAATACGGCAAATATGGGCGGTGACATGACCACAAAACGATATCACGGGCAGGACTATTGTGGATTCTTTCGGAAGATGTAATGTAGTAATGGGAAAGAATGATCTTTTTACCTTATTTAAGATGTAGATAAACTTGGCATTACTGTAGCCCGCCTCATTTACCGTATGGCAAATAATATTAAGTTCAGTATCAATAGCTGCTTGGCTGGAAGATAAAAGAAAGGCCCTTCTTATTAAAGGTGAAATTGCCGCATTGATGTAATGTTGTGGTTGGTATGCTGTAGCCGGGATTAGGAGAGGTACACTGCTAAATTTGTGGAATACAGAGTACGTAATGTTATCCTGGGATTTAATAATTTTTAGATCCAAGAACGCAATCTCATTTTCTTTGTCTTTTTCTCAGGTAAAATTAATTGTGGGATAAGTGGTTGCGAGAAAATCTTTGAAGGCAAGGAAATTTTCATGGATGTCCTGCCAAGCTATTAGAATGTCATCAACGTATCTAAGATACAAAAGAGGATACGTTATCGTGAGGGGAAATTAAAAAATCTTAAATTCAATATTCCTCATGACTAACTCTGCCAAGATTGCTGAAAGTGGTGAGCCCATTGAAACTCCCTGCTGCTGTAGATATATTTGGCACTTAAACTGGAAATAATTATTTTCGGAAATAAACAGTAGAGCTTCGCATAACTCTAAACCTCTTGCACTGTAAAACCCTTCCTGATTAACAGCGCATTAGCAAGCATAACAGCTTCAAACTGCAGCACTGAGGGGTAAAGGGCAACTATTTACATCCAACTTGTAGTAACTATACTCGTTTTGTGAAATGTTGGCACGACAACCATAATGTTGTCTTATTGTATTTTAGATCATCAATATTCCATCAGGGAAGGCAAGAATGAAACCAAACTCGCTAGAATGGTGTTACAACACCAACATTACAACAATACCCCAATGTGGAGCGAAGTAGCCATACTAAGACATTGCAATAACAGAAATCTTGTGTATATTTGGGAAGCCCTCCTTACCAACATATTAAAGCCCTGCAATACCCTCACACTTGATTTGCCCCCTTTGTGGATCAATTTGTATAACTATCTAAAACAACGTATCTAGATCCACAATTTGGAGGTGTTTAACACATGCGCATTATAACCGCGCATGTTTTCATTTAAAAATTTTATTATGTTCACCATTGCTTTCATTCCAAAACGTTAATACGCTTGGAACCATTTGTTATTTATATTCAAAAAATATCAGATAAATTATGCAAAGAGGGTTTTGCATTTACAAGTTCAGATTGTGATCACAAGTGGAGAAATCTCATAATTACATACAGAAAAAAATGTTGATAAAAGCAAAACATCTGGAGAAGGCAAAATAAGACAGGAATATTTTAAAGAATTGCATGAAACTTTTGGTAGGAATATTAACACAAATCCACCAATTAATTACATGAAATCTTCATCAAAAATTAATTCCAAAAGCAGAGATTTTATGAATGGATGTACTCAAAATGTGCTAACTGAAATTACCTGTGCCCAAAACAGAGACTGTGTTAGTATTACAAGTACTAAAAATTTGACAGTTCAGGTAAATCCAGCTCCCATGACCACTCAAACCTCTTGTACACAGTTATTGAATAATGAAAATGATTGTACAGCTATTCTGAAAAAAAGAGATAAAAGTGAATTAATTAAAAGTAGAAAAAGAAATCGAAATGAGCCATCATTATGGTATGTTGAAGATATGAAACTCAGGGATAGGAAGAGAGAGGAGAGAGAAAAAGGAAGATGAAAGAGGGCAGGAACATAAGGAATTGGAGACTAGGAAAATACAGGTTTTGGAAAAACTAGTTGAATTATTTACAAAATGTACCAAAAACAAATTCAAGTTGATAAAATTTTTATTTGCAATTTGTTTTGCTTAAGGTTGCGTACACACTAGGCGTTTTTAAATGCGCGTTTAACGAACCAAGAGTTCTGCATAGACATACACACTCAAATGTGCGCTTTTGGCCAAGCGCGCGTTAAACGCGCATTTATAGATTTGCAAAACGTGCGTTATAAGAAAAATGTCAGCCGAGCGCTTTGAGATATATGTGCTGCCATGTTACTGTACATTCGATCGCACGTTTTCGGGTAGAGTAAACGTACGTTGGCCGAAATGGAGAACGATCACTTCGATACTGATCTATTTATTGATGAAATCTAAAACAGACCAACCATTGTCAAAAGACTTTATAGATATTTTAAAAGAATTAAAAAACTTGGGTTTATTTTGTCTAAGTTTTGGATACAACGTCGCAAACATTCCATGTGTCAGTCTATCTCGTAATATTGGGTGCACCCTAAATTCTCTTTGCCTCTGCCATCGTCTTTTATAGCAACAATGGAGGAGGGGCACACAAGCAATTACTTTCACGTCCATTTCCAAACTGAGCCAGTGCGTATGCTCCACTAAACACTCTTCTAATGCCGAGCTAACGCCTGGTGTGTATGCTGCTAATGCACGTTTAACGCAACGCAAAATGCCTAGTGTGTACACAGCCTAAAACTAATGTTGATATGAATTATTTGTACTTTTTTTTCTTAAGAGAATATTTGCAGTAAATTAAATTCACATTAGACCATAAGTGTTATTAATAAAACAATACACAAAAATTTAGCTAATTCTTAAAACAATTTAACCAAAAAAATGGGATTAAATGTTTAATAACAATTATTATAGTTTATATTTATTCAGATAAATAAGAAAATATGATTATACTGCAAGTCATGACAAAAATAATAATGTCATACACTCTCTAAATTAAAAAGGTAATCTGCAATTTGATCTCTTTTATGTGCACCACTGGCATTTTTATCAATATTTGCATCAAACTGTTCTGTACTATGGCAAAAAAGTAAATTCAGTTGATCATATATATCAAATGTAGAATCATTATACATAATACCTACGCTATGTAGAATGCAGGCACGTACAATCACATCTGGAACAAATTCCCTTCTTCGTACAGATATAAATTAGCTTCTGAAATCGTCCAAACAGATGTGCAAAGGCTTGTTCTATTGTGACTCATGTAGAACTCAGAATTGTATTGAAGAACTTCTGCTTTCTTGTTAAATGGCCATTGTTTTTATATGGTGTCATTATTTTATTAGCAAATGGGTAGGTACAGTCACCAAAAATATGGCAGTCTGAAGGGATAAAATCCTCTCTCTCTTCCATATTTTTAAATAATAGGCTGTTCCTAAAAACTCTAGCATCATTTGCAGAGCCTGGTCAACCTGTGTAAATGTCCAAAAATTTCAAATCATGATCACATATAGCCTGTAGGACTACACTAGTATAACCTTTTCTATTTATATGATCATTTTTTTCTTCTTTATTCACAGAAACAGCAATATAGGTGCTGTTGTAACTTGATCTGAGTGTCAGGGCAAAGGTGGAAATTCCTACATACTTTTTTAATGTCTGAGGGGAGTTCTTCTGTAGTTGTCACCCCAGCCAGTTGTATCGAGAGGGAATAAAGTTAATTGTTAATTAACTATGTGTTTTTATGTGAAACAGTGTCGAAAACAAAACGGATATAAAAGTGGCAACGAGGATTAAGATAGAGACTTACCAGCGGAAATTACAATTTGAGATTAAAAGTCATAAATGTCGAGCCCAGGAACATCAACCAGTGCAGTTCGTTTCGAGCCATTCAAGATGGACAGCCAGTGGAAAACTTACAAGGACAGCTTTAATTTTTGCTTGAAGGCAAACCAGATTGAAAATGACCAAGATAAGTGTGCTTTATTTTTTACTGTGTGCGGTGAAGCTCTATATGAACTTGTAGTAACACTCATAGCCCCAAAAGAAACGACACAAGTTAACTTCAATGAAGTACTTAACGCTCTTGATAGCCATTTTAACCCAAAACCTAGTGAAATCGTTGAATCATTCAAATTTAACCAGAGGTCGCAAAAATCAGGAGAGGGTATCAACAAATATGTCGTGGAACTACGGAAAATTGCAATGAATTGCAACTTCAGCGCCTCACTAGAGCGTATGTTAACAGATAGGCTAGTGGCTGGTTTAAGGGATAAAGGAATACAACACATGTTATTGGCAAAAACGGACACTACTTATAAGGCCATTTTGAATGCAGCAGAGGCAGCATCTAAAGATGTTAGCCAGCTTGGGTAAAACGGAAACAACGCCCAAGTGTATAACTTAAAGGCAGACTACAAAAGAAAGAATAAGTTGGCCATATTATGCTGTTTTCGATGCACCAAAAGCCATAACCTGAATAATTGCAGATTTGCTCAGGTAATCTGTAAATTCTGTGGAAATAAGGGACACACAGAAAAAGCATGTATCACGAAACAAAAGTTGAGACCAAGGAAGAAACCAAATTGGGCAACAACAGAGAGAGGTATCCAGCCAGAGAGCCAAAGTACACTGAATTGAGGAACATAAAAATTTAACATCGAATCAGGTAGGGGAATACTGTATACATCTCTATTCAAAATACATGAAAGTAGGATACCATCCTTAAAAATCTAAATTCATATTGAAAATATACCAGTCATGATGAAAATTGATTCAGGGGCTGGGTACACTGTAGTGAGCGAACGGACCTTAAAAGAAATTAAAATCCAGCAAGACAAGTTAGAACCGAAAGAAGTCAAATTACAGACATGGGCGGATCAGAATCTGGAGGTTGGTTGGTTGGTTAATTTTTTTGGCACAAATGCCAGGCAGGATATACTGTGCCACGACACATGGTACAATTGAAAGTAGAAAATAAATAGGGAAACATATATACACATAAACAAAACATCACAGTTTAACCATTAAAAAGTCAATGATAATATAAATATAAACTCTAGAATATAATGAATAAATAAATAAATAAACAACAAGAAAAATAAGTAAACAAACAACAACAAAAAATATATACAATAATTTAGATATGCAACTCAAACTAAATAAAACTGTACGATAAATAAATCATCAGATTTCCCTATACATATTAATGACTTTTAGAAAGTCCAGTATATTATCCAGATTTGGCCTCTGGCCCAAAATGTCTATAAAGCTTGCATTTCCGAAATGCTGTCTACGACTCTGATCAAAAGCAACACAGTTGCAAAATATGTGTTTAACACTTACAGCACAGTTGCAGTGCTGACATACTGGTTCGTCATCTCCCTTCAAAAGGTATTAATGAGTCAGTCGAGTGTGTCCAATTCTCAAACGAGTCAGGATAACCTCAGATCTCCTATCATAATGCCTATTATGTGTCCAATTTTCTACCAAAGCTTTGATCTCGTGAAGTTTATTGTGGATTTCTGCATTCCACATGATCTGCCATCTCTCTGTTCAAATCACCTCCTTCAATACGCATTGTATGCTGTGTGAAGGACTTGCCGACTTAGCAGCTGTATCAGCTTCTTCATTACCTCTTATACCCACGTGGCCTGGGACCCAACAGAACTTCACAAAAAAATTTCTCGTAGTGAGATGACTAATTAGTTTTCGAATTTTAATAACTATGAAGTGAGAACTACGTTCATACGAGATCAAAGCCTGAAGTGCACTAACTGAGTCAGTGTAAATCACGCAGCAACGATGACCTTTCTGATTTATATACTTTATAGCTAAATAAATAGCCTGCAACTCCGCAGAAAAGATGGAAGAATTCGGTGCTATATGTTCTGCCACAATTTCATCCTGGCAAACAAAGGCTAAGCCAACATAATTATCTGATTTAGATCCATCGGTGTATATAGGAATTAAATTCCTGTTACGATGCTGAATTTCTGCGAAGTGCTGTCTATAGACGTAGTCTGGTGTGGTTTCTTTAGGGAACTGCTTTAAGCTTAAATCAACATCGATCGGTGAAGTTGACCAAGGTGGAATACTATTAACCTCAATATGTGAGATGTTGCTTGTGTCTAGGTCAATCGTGCTGCTCACATTCTCCATTCTAATGTCGAATGTAGGGACACAACTCGTCCGAGCGGCAAATAATCTTTTCAGCTGAGTATCTGGACAATCAGCTGTAAGATTTTTCTGAGATTTTTGTTTAATGTAATAAAAAGAAGACAACTGTTCTCTCCTGAGAGATAGTGAAGACTCATAAGCATCCACATACAAACTTTGAACAGGGAAAGTTCGAAATGCACTGGTGCACAAACATAGTGCTTGATGGTGGATTGGATCCAGCATCCGAAGAGTAGATTCTCGCGCAGAGCCAACAGCGACCATAGGCCTTCTCTATATCAAAAAACACAGAGCTAAGTGCTGTCGTCTAACAAACGCTTCGCGTATACATTTTTCAAGGTTTACTAAGTTATCAGTGGTACTTCTGTTCCTATGAAAACCACTCTGATGTGGTGAAAAGTATTCATTTTTCTCTAAGAGATACATCAGACGTCTGTTTACCATCCTCTCAAAGAGTTTACACAGGCAACTTGTCAGCGAGATTGGTCTGTAATTTGAGGGATTCTTGTGATCTTTACCAGGCTTCGGAATGGGAATAATGATAGATAGCCTCCAAGAGACAGGAAAAGTATGTTCTGTCCATATTCTGTTAAACAGACACAGCAGATTATAAAGGGAATTGTTCGAAAGATTTTTAATCATGCTGTAGTGGATTTTATCCGAGCCTACAGCACTAATCCCTGAGCAAGAGATCGCTGTATGTAATTCAATTCTAGTGAAAGGCACATTATATTCCTCATTAGATGAAGAATGGAAATTTAAATATTGTTTTTCACTTTGGGCTTTATAAGCATGAAAATTTCTTGGATACATAATATTGCTGGATGAAGTAGAAAATGTTTCTCTCAACAAATCAGCAATACCCTGTATATCGCTGACTATTGTGCCATTATTTTCTAGCATGGACAGAGAACGAGAAGCATATTTCCCATTAATTTTATGGATTTTATCCCAGACTGCTTTTGAGCTAGTGGAAGATGTTATGCTAGAGACATACTTCCTCCAAGAATCCCTTTGGCTTTGCCTTCTTATTCTTCTGGCATTTGCTTTTGCTTTTTGAAAAGCTATCAAATTGTTAGTAGTGGGGGTGTAAGGAACCAAGTCCGAACATTATTTTCATTTACTTTTATTTTGCTTATTATTCTATTTTTGTTTGGGGCTTATGTTTTGTTAGGACGAAGGTTTCCTCACCATTCACCTTAGTAACTTAAAAATAGAAGAAAAACCAACTCACCGACGAAAGAAAAGCGCCATAGAAAAACTCGCGCACACTTACGCTTCCCGAGCAGAAAAAAGTAAGTCCGCACCGAGAAAAGGGGGGAAGACCCCACAAGCACGAATTAGGAACTCGCTAAACCTTAAAAAATAAAAAACGTCCCGAAAATTGTGAAAAAGAATAATGTAAAAGGTTAGAGAGTATTGTCGGAAAATAGGCTGCCAGACAAACGAAAAAAGTTTATTGTTAACGTTAAGTATGTAAATGAGGAGAGTGATCTCATTCAGAATTGTGACGTCACCTCACACTATAAATCCCGAGTCTCAAGTGAAGATGAACGAGGTGAACTCCNGGGTAGAGTAAACGTACGTTGGCCGAAATGGAGAACGATCACTTCGATACTGATCTATTTATTGATGAAATCTAAAACAGACCAACCATTGTCAAAAGACTTTATAGATATTTTAAAAGAATTAAAAAACTTGGGTTTATTTTGTCTAAGTTTTGGATACAACGTCGCAAACATTCCATGTGTCAGTCTATCTCGTAATATTGGGTGCACCCTAAATTCTCTTTGCCTCTGCCATTGTCTTTTATAGCGACGATGGAGGAGGGGCACACAAGCAATTACTTTCACGTCCATTTCCAAACTGAGCCAGTGCGTATGCTCCACTAAACACTCTTCTAATGCCGAGCTAACGCCTGGTGTGTATGCTGCTAATGCACGTTTAACGCAACGCAAAATGCCTAGTGTGTACACAGCCTAAAACTAATGTTGATATGAATTATTTGTACTTTTTTTTCTTAAGAGAATATTTGCAGTAAATTAAATTCACATTAGACCATAAGTGTTATTAATAAAACAATACACAAAAATTTAGCTAATTCTTAAAACAATTTAACCAAAAAAATGGGATTAAATGTTTAATAACAATTATTATAGTTTATATTTATTCAGATAAATAAGAAAATATGATTATACTGCAAGTCATGTCAAANCTAGGTATGTACTGTACTGTACATTATCATTAAGGATACAATCTCCCTCATTGCTTTTCTCACCACCGAGCACATCCACACCACTTTCCGCTGGGTTAAAGACCACTCGGCGGTCGCCGGCAATGAAAGGGCTGACTTCCTAGCCAAGAAAGCCACTGGCCACTAGCAGAATATTACATTTTGTGCTATACCGACCAGCTGGATCAAGAACAGGTTTCAAGACCACGCTTTTCAGTTATGGCAAAAAAGGTGGGACTTCGAACTAACTGGCTTCTTTCCTAATCTTCAATCCAGAAGGAAAATGGACTTCTACATCCCAAACTATCACTCAACTCAATTTGTCACAGGGCACGGGAATTTCAAATGCTACCTATGCAGGTTCCTTCTCAAAGGCGATGGATTGTGCGACTACACTTTGGACATTGAGGCCCCTCCACGTCATCTTCCTGTGCCCGAAGTACAAAAACCAACGGAAGCTTCTGGCTAATGCAATGTACACAGAGGGCTACCACTGGTCCTGCAACTGCCTGGACTTCTTCAACACCAAGAACACTTTTGCGGCTTTCTCTGCCTTCATTAAAGAGTCAGCAGTCACCCTCCCGAACTTCACCTATAGTTGGCCTTCAACTGCTCACTAGCCAACCTTCACCTGCTTGATGTCGTTTCTTCATGCGAAGGCTTTTAGTGTAAAGCCCACTTTTGTCTCGCGTGTTCATTCTGTATTGCGTTTTGGCGCCTGTAATTGCGCGTTGTGCCTACTTTGTTTCGTGTTAGTGTTTACCCTTTGACATGAGTCAGTTAAAAAAAATAGAGAGAAAGGGAGAAAGGGAAGAAAAAAGAAAAAAATATCACTCGTCACGCCTGTTCTGTTTTGTCACGCTTAGTGTAATGTTTCCATCATGCCTTATGTCCTGTTTTGTCACAGGTAGGCACTTGTCATGCTGTATTCATTTTTTTCTTTGTTTTACAGTGTCTAACCACTGCGTTATCCTTTGGGCAACCTTATATCTGTATTCAACTGGGCTTCGACCCACACTGTGAACGTAAATGTTTCTTTGGCCAGTTTCGGATCCTGGTTGCCTGTTCATGTGACTTACTTCCCACTTTCCTATCTTCCTTTCCTCCTTCCCCCCTTCTTGGTCTTTCGTCTCTCCTCCACCCTCATAATCCTTCACCTCAAAGGCTAAGCCCAAGGTACGGCCTCCTAATTATTTGCTTGTATTGTATTGTATCTAAATACAGTAATACCTCGACTTACGCTACCCCGACTTACGCGAACTCGGAGTTACGCGATTTTCAAATCTCGTCGATTCGTCTTTTGTTTGAGCGCCACGCAACCCTTGATTACTCACTCCCCCCACACTATTGTTCGGCTTACATGTTCGGACGTGTCGCGCGAAATCCACACATAGCTACAATTTATTTTGTGTTATTTATTTCTGTGTTTGTTATATCTACGGAGACTCGAGAGACTCTACTACGTCATCCAAACGAAGTAGAACTAATTCTTCCGCATCAAACAAGAAAAGAAAAACTTTATTTTTGGAATGTAAAGTTAACATTGGGGATGTTCGTAAAGTCGAACGAGTTAAGCGAGAATGACGTCATCGTTATTCCTGTTTCGTTAGACTTTTCAAACGATTTGTTACTAACGCGTTTAACTCGTTTGACTTTACGAACGTACCCATTATTAAAGAGTTCGATACAAAAATAAAAATTTGTGAATTGGCAAAGAAGTTTGATCTACCGGAATTGTCGGTCAGAACAATTATAAAAGGCAAATAAAAACTTCTCGAAGCTGTGAAAAATGCTCAATCTTTAAATTCAAGCATCATTCGTAAACGTCACAGTATTATCGCTGAGATGGAAACAATGTTAAAATTATGGCGTAATAATCAAGTAAATGTGAAAAATTGTAAAATAATATAGGCCTAATTTGTTATACATATGTATTATCTAAGATTTTATTAAACATTTTTTTCTAAATTATTGTTTTCTTTAGTCTCCGGCCCCAATTAAAAATTATTTGTATGTATTTATATGCGAAATTATACCCCAACTTACGCGGTTACCCTCGGTCCCACCTATCGCGTAAGTTCGGGGTATTACTGTATAAAGATGTTTTTAGTATAATGCCAATATATGATTTAACTGCTAAAAATTAAAACAAATATGTTTTAAAAAGTTTTCGAAAAATTGAAAAAATAGGTTTTAAAGTTATTTCTTTAATAGCATATAACAATACTGTTAATCGTATAGCTTAATTATTTTCAGTTAATAAAATTTTAGTTATCAACTCCTCATCCTTTAGACAGGTGGAGATAGTTATTTTTTATTCTTCATTCTGTTCATATCATTAAGTGTATTGGCAATAATCGGATAACTAAAACATCTGAAAATAAATCCATTTAATTCCTGACATGGATGGTGATGATTATAAAATAAAAGAAGCACAATTTAAACATCTGGAAATAATGTAGGAACTGGAAAACAATCTTTAGTGAAATATGGGCATTTAATTTCAATTAAAGTATTATATCTATCTACTATTCAAAAACAAAATGTTAAATTAGCATTGCGAATACAATAGAGCGTCGATTATCCGAAGGTCAATTATCCGAAAGAATTCCAGTCGGCAAATTTAAATTTTCGCCAGTGCTGTGGCGCTGCAATCTTTGGCTATATCTTCGGCTACTCAAATATTTTACGTTTTTGATACTAAATTAACTTCTGAAGTATCATTTTTTATCGTTTTTATATTTTCAATATATTTATTTTGTTTGTGCAAAATAAAAAAATAATTTTTAACGATATAATAGTCTTCGTTAGGCTTAATATCGACGAAAATTCAACGCGAAGCGACACGCAACGGAGAAAAATTTCAACACGGGATAGGTTAATATATTTTTTCGTCCATAATCGGTTATCCGAACTATCGATTTTCCGAACAACCCCAGTCCCCAATTGATTCGGATAATCGACGCTCTACTGTACTAGTATTTAATGAAAAAAATATTTCTGCTTTGATGTACAGCAAGCGATAATCGCAGTACGTTCCCGGATATGAA